TGCCTCCCAGCTCTTTCCTCTATTTCCCTTGATTCTCCTCCTGTCCCACTATCATGCTCAGTCCCCACCAGGATTTCAGCACTTCCTCTTTGTTGATATCATTCTTTTCAAGCTTTCAATTTGATTAAAGAAGAACTCTTCCTACAACATCACACAATAGTCAATATTATAGAATATTCGCATTACAAATAACACACAATTAAAAGTACATAGTTATTTCTTTAGGAGATATTTCCTCTAGATATCCAAAGAAAATCATCTGGTTTTCTGTTGCATTGGTAATGTCTTTCCTTATGCCCCCCACATGTGCTCCTGTAGGCTACCAGGAGAAAGCGAGCCGGTGATGGAGTACAGGACACGGCTGGCTGAGGTGACGTGCTGGTTACGAAAGGCAGACATGGTGTTGCAGAAGAAAGCCACCACCGGGCTGGAAGAAAACTTGCCAGAATTAACAGTAAGTGCTTTATTGGTACCTGTGGGCCTGGGCTTTTTGATCCTTGAATGTGTAAGTGCAAATTATTAGTGGGCTGAAGAAGAAAATAGAAAAATTTCACTTTGTGGTGATTGTGTTGAACTTGAAAGATTGTCATTGTAGTTTTAAAGAGCACTTACACCCTTAGTGTTACTTAGGTAAGACACCACTCACATAAATATTACAAGTCATTGTGGTTTGACGGGGATATAATAACCAGACTTCATCATCCATAAGTTCCCAAGCTTATCTGGTCTGTTGTCCTCATTTTTAGTGGGGAAGAAAATCACTCAGCACCCCAATGGCAATGAAACATATATTATGGAAGTGTTGGTATCTGCCCTTTGCAGCGCCCCTGGATCTTGACAACATCCACCAGGGGGCGGTATCGCCCACTTTTGGGGAAATGCAAATTTTGGAATATAATACCGCAATGTTGTGAATCATAGCTTTTGCTTTTAGGTTTAATAGATAATTACAGACACACAAATTTTTATTGTGCTTCACAGCTAGTATGTGTGTGTGTTTTAGTAGTTTCATTAACATATAATTCATTTACCATAAAACTCAGTGGTTTGAAATATATTTTAAAAAGTTGTGCAAACATCAACAGAATCAATTTTTTCCTTCATTTTTATACTCATGGGAATTAGCTTACCAATTCTCCACTGCTGTATCTGTAAGAAACTATTAATCTTGCTGCTGTTGCCATAGATTTACCAATCATGAATTTCATATAAGGGAAATCATACAACCCTCCTGCCCCTACAACAATAACCAAATAAAACAGAAAATCCTCAATCCAAAAGAAAGCAGGGAATAATTAAAAAGTAGAACAAATTAAAAATAGATCAAAAGGGAAAACAAATGATAAGGTGTTAACATTTAAGCTAGGTATATCTGTGCTCATTCACCTTCTGATGCACTCTGATGGAGGGGCAAGGCATTTCACATCCTTGGTCAGTGGTCCGAGGGAATTCAGTGATGGTTTAAATCCCTCACAGGGTTTTCTGCAAATGTGATTTAGGCTTTCACTCTCGTCCATAGCCTTCTGCAGGCCAAGCACTCAAATTTGAACTCTAATATTATTTCCTTTTCTGATCTTGGAGTTTATTATTTATAAATGTTGGGTAGTGCATTTTTGACAAAGTGAAGGTTTGCGGCAATCCTGGGTTGAGCAAGCCTGTCTGTGGAATTTTTTCCAGCTGTGTTTCCTCACTCGGTGTCTCTATGTTACCTTTTAGGAATGTTTCTTGTTCATTAAACTTTTTCACAGTGCTGTTGCACACTTACATAGACTAAGGTGTAGTGAGAATTTATGCGAAGCCAAACATTTGCTTCACTGTGGTACTTGGTTCATGGCGGGGATCCGGAGCCCTCTCTGCGATAGCTGCTAGGGATACTTATACTGATAGCTAAGAAATGGAATTTTATAAGAAAAGTCATAAGTGGTCACAGGACTGTAGCTGTGGGCTTATTCATAGCTGCATTGATCAAATATCTTGTTCATCTGGGACCAATAAAAATTGTTCAAAGTTATGTTTATGCAACATATAACAATGATACATCAATATTTCAATGCACCCAAATGCCCATCCATTTTATATCCATAACTACTTCTATTTGTTAAAAATTAAAATACTTGTTGTATTTTATGGATAAGCAGTCTTATCTATGAGGAATATAATTGAAGCCATATTGGTACGAAGCTATTATTGTTCATTTTGGATAAGTCAAGATAGGTTGAATTGTGTTGATGATAAGACACACTGTAAGAAATTGGTTACTGACTGACTAAAAGCAAGGAGGGTAAAAACTACATTAAAAAGTCTAACATATAAATGTCTTTGGGTAGTTAATGGTAGAAATAATATGTAGTAAGCATTTAATTTTTTATTTCAAGATGTGACTGATATCTAAGCAGTTTGATTTTGTTTTGTTGGAAAACCCAATCGTTTGCTTGCACATCCCTTTTGCATTCAACTTGAATGAACTGAAATGACTGGGGTCCTATAGCAGAGGAATGCTGCTGCTCCTGTTGTTTAGCCTGTTATTTGTAGAGACGTAATTCTTATTATCGAAGAGCACCCTGCTAAGCTAGTGGTGTAAATATGGTTTCATACGAATCTGTCCAGACGGAGCAAGAGAAAGTGTGTTTCTGTGCATGCACATATAAGCACGCAGGCAGGGTTCACTCCTGTGTATAGCATCATCCACAGTTAGTAAGCATGAGTTCAGGCTTCTTATATGTTCATTTCCCATGTAAGAAGTGAAGAGTCTACATTGGCATGAGAAGAGTCCTAATCAAGTTTTGGACTTTTCTCAGAAGGACAACCTTTTAACCACAGCTCTCTTCTGACTCCTTTAGGATTTAACCCAAGAGATGGAAGTACAAGCTGAGAAACTCAAATGGCTGAGTAGAGCTGAACTGGAAATTCTTTCAGAGAAGAGTTTGAGCTTACAGGAAAGAGACAAAATTTCAGAAAGCTTAAGAAGTGTGACTGCAACGTGGAATAAGGTATGCACAGGGTTACCATGACACAAGTCTTTAAAATATATAATTGGGATTTAATGCATTTGTCATTTCATTTCATACTTCAGTCACATTCAGAATTGAACAGTTGCTACCACATCAATTTCCAAACATTCTATTTCTACATGGACTCTTTGACAACATTTCCCCTTCACCCCACCACCACCACTGTATTTACCTCCTCCCTAAACCCTTATTCTACTTGCTGTCTCTGTAGGTTCCCCAAGCCTGGGTTTCATCTACTGAAAACTGGAAAAACATATAACACAACTTCAGGAAGGTGACCCCAATGACATATTGTCTTCATGTCCACTAACTAGTTCTCAGCCTCATCATCCTTATCTTGATTATTGACCTGACCTCCCTGCTGACTTCTCTGTTCAGTCTTTGGCCCTTGTCAATCACTTCTCAACCTGAAAGCCACAAGGATGTTGTTAAATCATAATTCAGATCAAAGAATCCTTCAATCCTAGCCCACTCACTCAAAGTCAAAGTCAAAGTTTGTACTGTGACTTGTAAGACACTCTCGGGGTCTACCTTCCTGTGATTTCTTCCCCCCGCCGACTCTTCTTTCCATCCACGTTGGCCACCGTCTCGGCTCTGCCAAACTCAGTTTATCACCTTCAATCCGAGTACAAGTGTTTATTTTCTGCCAAGGACACAACATGTATTGTTCTAGGAGAGATCATGGTGATCAATTTTCAAGCATCATTTAGAAAAGTAAAGCCTCCTTTATTGCAGGACTTTGCATCAAGTCTGATAGCTTAGGTGAATTGTGAATGTGAAAGATCGAACAGTGTTTATTGTCCAGAGAGCATCAACAAACACCCTGGAAAATGCTAAGGATGTTTTCTTCATTCACCCATTCACTCAATAGGATTTTATTAAATATTCACTTTGTGCCAGCCAACATTTTGAGGACTCTGAATACAGCAAAGAGCTTGGCACTGCTTCTCCATGAATGTAATGCAGGTGAGACATGTCGAGAAGCAGGGCACCTGGAGCTACTCCATGGACCAGAAAAGTACATTGGGAACCAGACTTTAGGGTACACGGGGGAGGGTTTTTTGTTTTTGTTTTTGAGAAGGTGAATTCCAAACAAACTGATGAAGGTTGGGTAAGTATGGGATCATGTGAAGAATAGAGGAACGGATATGGGAGAAGCAGCAACATGGGAAACACCTGGCAGAGACCAAGGATGAACCTGGTGCGTTGGGGTCCTGGAGGCAGCACAACAGGAGTAGAAGGTAGCGAGGTGCTCGTGAAGATGGGGTCATGAAGGCCTTGCCACGCATCATTCCAGCGTGAGAACTGATTGCCATCTTTAGGGCAGAGGTCAGGTTTTAAGCAGAGGAGAGTTAACCATTCTTAAAGACTGCCGTAGCTGTCCGGTAGGCACAGAAGGAGTGATCATAAGAATGACTAGAGACATTAGTCAGTGTAAGACATGAAAAAATAAAGAATTATCAAGATTCATGAGGGAGGTAGGGTAGGAGGGGGTGGGGGGGAATGAGCTGATACCAAGGGCTTAAGTAGAAAGAAAATGTTTTGAAAATGATGAGGGCAACAAATGTACAAATGTGCTTGACACAATGGATGGATGAATGGATTGTGATAAGAACTGTACGAGCCCCCCAAAAAATGATTTAAGAAAAAAGAATGAATGAATAGAGAAAGATTAATTGAAATCTTTAGACATTTATGGAAGGAATGTCAGGGAAGACTGATCAGTTTAAATTTGGACATATCTGAATCTCCTGTTCATAGGGGTAGATCAAAGATATGTCTTGAGCGGGAGTTACTGGCCTCTCAGAACCCTATATTATAAATGAAATCATTGGAAACCATGACCTGGAAGAGAGAGTCCAGGGTCAAGGATTAGAAGATTAAAAATTCTACATTGTAGGATAAAGGCGTTAGAGTGATGGGCTGAGGCGAATGAGCTTGTGAGAGACAGGTAGTAGAGCAGTCAGAGGGTGAAGGGAGAGGTCAAGTCAGTAAGGTCTGCTTGGCATTCTTGAAGATAGGATTGCACTGGTTAGTAAAGGTGAGATTGTCCAGGCAGAAGATTAAGCATAAGGGAAAGAGAAAGGACAGAGTTATAATTTAGTGTAACACTTCTATTTTTAAAAGGCAGTTACTTTTATTGATACTCTTACTTTTGTGTTTGGCCTGATGCAATAGATAAGCAGAGACGTGCCCATTGCATTAAAGGAATACAGCCAGGAACCCAGTTCTGTGTCACATCCAAGGATTGCTGGTAAGATAAAATGTATTACTCTTGATGTCTTTTTTAAAAAAGCGAAAACAAAGCAACATTCGTGTAATTTTAGTAATTTTTCACTGCCATATGAGGGGGTAACCCCCCAAACCAGAATTGTGCTGGAACTTTTGTAGTACACATTTTTCCCGCTAGGTGAGCATCCAGCAACTCTCTGAGTTAGTGCACCCAGTGGTGTCACCTGGAAATGTTCTCTCTGGTCACAGTGAATTTTTTCGTAAAAGTAGTTTTGCTCAAACCTTTTTTTTTTGTGATGGCCGATTTAAGAGAACAGTGTGCAGCTGTGTAATTGTGTTTCCTGCTAGGGAAAAGTGCCGCAGAAACTGTTGTGATGTTGAATACAGCTTACAAGGACAGTACTATGGGGGGAAAGTGTATGTGTGGTTTTCTTGTTTCAACAAAGGTGAAATGCTGATTGATGACAAACCTCCTTCTGGACATCCATCAACTACCTGAACTGACCAAAACGTTGACAACATTTGTGCATTTGTTCTCAAAGAGCAATGACAGACCCTTAAAGAGATGGGGAAGTTATCTGGACTATCTTGGAGCTCAGTTCAGCAAATTTTAATGGAAGATTTGGGAATGAGAAGTCTCACTGTGAAATTTTTGCCTCGGGTTCTGCCTGACCAGGAAAAAGAGTGTTGAGTGGAAACATGCCCTGCTTTGAAAGAACAGCTCTGACTCAACTCACACTTTCCCCCCCCCAAGGTCATTGTTGGTGACAAGACATGATACTATTCTTATGACCCTGAAAGCAAATATCAGTCAAGCCAGTGCCATCGTCCCCTCATCCTAAAAAAGCTCATCAAATGAAATCACAGATCAAGACAAAGCTCTTTTTTTGATGTTAGGGCTATAGTGGTGCATTTGGAGTTTGTTCCACCAGGTCAGACTGCTAATCAAGCTTCCTATTGAGAGGTTCTGAAAAGGTTGGGTTACAGTGTGTGACAAAAAAAGGCCTGATTTGTGGCACATGGGGGACTGGTGTTGCTACCACAACAATTCACCTGCTTATGTAGCCATCTCAGTGCACCAGTTTTTGGCAAAAACAGCATGCTTCTCTTGTCCCACACACCATACTCACCTGACCTTGCTCTGTGGGACGTTCATATATTGTTTCTGAGAATGAAGAAGGACATGAACGGATAGTGATTTGACAACATAGAAGAGGTGAAGACGAGGGATGTGTTGTCAGCCATCCAAACAGATGTGTTTGAAAAATGTTTCCAAGAATGGAATTGTCGATTTGACAAATCTATTAAGTGTAATGGAGAGTACTTCGAAGATGATAAGGTTATTTTGTAAAAACAAAAATTTAAATACATAGCTTTTGAGGTGGAAAATAATTCTGGGTTTTTTTTGGGGGGTACCCCCTCATATATAAATTAGAAATTGCTTACTTCAAAACATTATGCAGTTATGATTATTGTACTCTCAATGATTAGAAAAGAAGTTTCTTTTAACACAAGACATAGTTGACTGCCCTGTATGCAGGTGCCTCTGTGGTGATAGGTAACATTTTCTGCCTTTTCCTAGTTGGTGCATGGGCATCAATGAGTCCTACTGAGGAAGAGGGGAGAGAGTGGGTGGAGCTGCCCTGGGTACATGCTGCTTTTAAGGACATCGGCTATCACCTGCTATGTTAACCTGTTCTTAAGATGTGGGATCCTAGGGGCCAGGTGTCAGCTAGAGATTTGGAAAAGTGCTCCGTCCTAAGGAAGCTGCTTCTTGACAAATGTTCCCTGCTTGTACCGGTGTCAGTGGCTGTGGAATCCATTCGAACTAAAGCAACCCTCAGCTCCATTGAGTTTCCAAAGGCTGACTTTTTTTTTTCAAAGTAGGTGGACAGCCCTTTCTTTTGAGGTCTTAATAGGTGTACTCGGCCTTTCAACGTTCAGCGAGCAGCCCAGGGCAATATCCCTTTGCACTATTCAAGGACTCCGTGGGTCTTAGGGGCTTTGAAGGGGTCTCTTGGAATGTCACTTTGAGAGCCTCTGAATTATGGATATAGAATACTTCATTTTAATGGGTATTTCTTTAATTAGCTATGTTGTTGACTACTTTTTCATGTTTATTGGCCTTCTTGTTGCCTCCTCTATGAATTGTCGGCTGGCATTTTTAGTTTAGGAACAGCAAGGTAGATCGTAAATTCCTTCCCCATCAACCTGTGGCTTTGAAAACCTGTGTGTGGCATCTTTGTACAGAATTCTTAGGCAGTAAGGGTTTAGTGATAGTTTACCTTTTTTGTGTGTCCTTTATGCTAAAGTGGCTTTAGTTCTCTGAAGTCATAAAACTATTCTTTCTACATTTTCATCTGAGACCTTTGCAATTTTGGAGTTTTGTGTTCAGATCTTTAGTTCCCCAGGAATTTGTTTTTATATGGTGAGTGTGAGGTCAAAATCCATTCCACTGACCCTCTGCCATGGGTCACCACTTTCCCTGACATTTATTGATGACATCATTATTAGATTCTTCCTCATTGGTCTATAATGTTTCTTGGCCAAGTGTCAGATTGGTAATACAATGATGGTATAGCTTTTAGGAGCACATTTCTCTAACGAAAATGGGTTTTGGTACCACTCTTGACCCCACGCTGTTCTGTATTAATTTTAAAATGGGAAATGGGATTATATGTATTCGTCAAGCTATATACTGCAGACATTGTTGGGATTTTGATGAGAATGACTCTGAGTTTTAATGTTTTCTGAGACCTCTCATAACCTCACTTAATATACCATATATCAGAGTAGACCCAGGTGGGCATAAAATTAATTTAACTATTTTTTTGTTTCAAAACTAAAGGAAAACAACCACTTCCCCATCTTAAAAACAAACAAAAATAAAATAAGTACCAAAAATGTTCGTCAAATTATTGGAGAAAATGAGTGTCTATCTAAGGTCCTGGGAAAACAATGATCAAATACAGATTTGTGAATTTGTTCACTCCTAGTTTGTTAAAATATATATTTTTGGGTGGTGGTGGGGCACATAAAAAATCTCCAGGTTGTTTCCAACAATGAGGCATATATTTATGTTCCTATTTGAGAGCTCATCTAAATTGACAGGAAGCAGATAAAATGTATCATTAAAATAATACCATGTTTATTTGATGAACAAGAAAGACACTCACCTTTACTGCTAATCAAAAAACCATTAAATGAAAGCAATAATAAAAGATGTGTGTTTATCCATTGAAAGAGAAGATTGTTGGTATTGATGCAGGATGTTTATCGGTTCTACAAGCTGCTGCTGGGAATCTAAATTAGTACACGTTTTAGAGAGAGCAATTGGCAGTGTGTATTAAAAACATTAATTAAAAAGTTTTTTCTAACCCAGTAATTCTACTTTGAGAAATGTATACTAAGGTGGTGATCAGACACATAAAAAATACTAGAAAATGCTACTTGTAAGTTTTTATTTTTAAACAAAATTTCAGGAGCCAAAGGGGTTTAATAAAAGTTAGTGAATCTGTAAATAGAATTTTCATAGATATTTATTAAGACTGAGTAAAGTGGTTATAAAGTAAAATGAAAAAAAAAAACAAACCCCAAAATATGAATAAGTTGGCTTTATATAAGAAAACAAACTAGAAAAAATCAAATTGCACTCCTGATTTTTCTCATGCTGGATTATATTGCATGCCTTATTTTCTCAAAGCCTCTATTTTTCTGAGATGTTGCTACCCAAGGATATTGTGAGATCGTTTAGTCTGTTTTCAGCACCAAAGACGATATTATAGGGACTAGCACAGCCCTTTCAATAGAAAAAAATAAAAACCTCTTAGAATTATCTTTTTACTTAAATTAAATATTACTTAGTCATGCTCGTCCATGACCAAATACAACCCCACTATCAAAATCTCCTCCAGGTTGGTTAACATTTGGCTGCCTGGTCTTTTGTTTCAGCTCATCCCAGTGTCCAGAAGGTGGCGCTCGTATCATCTGCTCCAGACATCCCTCTTCCGCCTCAGCGTCCTGCAGAAATGTCGGTGCCTGCTGATCTGGATAAAACCATAACAGAACTAGCCGACTGGCTGGTATTGATCGACCAGATGCTCAAGTCCAACATTGTCACTGTTGGGGATGTCGAGGAGATCAATAAGACAGTGTCTCGAATGAAAGTAGGTGCACCATGCAACGTCACCCGAGGGAGCGGCAGGATTCGTTTGGATCCCTTTTGCTTGTCTTACATTTCGAAAGAAGGAAGGTTTTTTGTTTGTTTGTTTTTAAAATGGCTCATCTGTCAGTCAGCCTGAAGCGGAAGACTTTTCTTGAATCTTTACCGTGGTGATGAGATCAGATTGGTTTTTCAACTTAAGCTGTGGACTCAGTGCAGTTTTTTACCCCCAAACCTAAACGAGGTACCACAAAGCTTGGCACATTAGTGTAAATGTACACTAGGGTCACATGTCATGTTTAGTGTGATGCAGGATAAGGAGTCTGGGGCAGTGGGGTGAAGTCCTCACCTGCTAACCCAAAGGTTGATGGTTCAAACCCACGGGCTGCTCTGTAGGAGACAATGCGGCAGTGTACATCAGTAAAGATGGCAGCCTTGGACAATCCCTGGGGCAGTTCTGCCCTGTCCAGTAGGGTTGAGATAAGTTGCCATGACTCCATTGAAACCGTTGGGTTGGTGTGGATACTTTTGAGGTGGATAATTTCTGAAAATATCTTTTTCAACTTCTCTTTCACATTGAACTTATTTGTTCATAAGTAACAGTGAGCAGTCCCATAGACTCGCTGCTTTCGTCAGTAGTTGCTGTTGCCTTGAGGCCACGTTCATGGTGATCGAGGGACAATGGGATCCAAAAGCTGTGCTGTGATCCAGAAGGGCTTCAGGAGCTGGTTTCTGGGAGTAGCTAGCCTGGTCTTTTCGTTTTGTCAATTTTAGTCTGGAGCCTACGTTGAAGCTTGATCCTCCTCACAGAAACACACAGGCTTCCCCCGACAGATGAGATGCATCGATTGGGAATTGAACCTAGGTCTTGGGGTTGTTTGTTTCATTAGAAATCTCTTGACTTTAATTGTGTGCAATTCATGTATCATTGATTATCAATTTGTCCAGCTCTTATTTCACATTCAGTTTGTGTGTGGTTCTGGCGATCTGTATTCCAGTACATCAGCAGGGAGCTGCCAGAAATCCAAACCAGATTCAAAGGAAGACTGGGAATGAGGGGTGTCAGATAGGTCTTTACTGAAAGCAGAGGCTATGAGAAGGTGTGTTTTCTTCACTGTGCAAATGCATTCAGCTGGGTGGATCATCACGGCTTAGGGCTAATGTTGTCAGGAATGGGACTTCTAGAATATTTCATTGTGCTCCTGAGGAACCTCTGTTACGGAGGAAGGACGACGAGAATGCTCCTCAGAAGTGAAGGTGAGGAGAGTTCATTTCTTTGGACATGTGCTTTGGAGATGTTATCAGGAGAGACCAGTCCCTGGGAAGGGACATCATGAGGGGTCAATTCAAGGGTCCTTGAAAATGAGAAAGGTCCTGATGAGATGGCTTCTCACCGTGACTGGAATCACGGGTGGCACAGGACCAGGCAGCGCTTTGTTCTTTTGTACAGAGACTTGTTATGAGTCAGAACCAACTTGGTGGCCCCTGAAAACAACAGGTTCTGAGCTAGGTATGGTATAAGAATATGGAAAAGGTAGAAATTGGGAGCACATAGGAGAGTAATTTTAGCAGCTGTACTAACTTTAAGGCTCATTGGTGCCATTGTCTGGTGAGCATTGGGTTGCTAATTATATAGGTTGTTCGTTCAGTCCCCCAGCTGCTCTGTGGGAGATTGATGAAGGTAGCGGCTCCTGGAAAGATTTGAAGTCTCATAAACCTTCTCTAGGGTCCCTGTGAGTCAGAAAGAACTCAATCCAAGTAGGTTAGGTTAGGTCAAGTTTAGGAACCCTGATAGCATAGAGGTAAAGCACTCAATGACGAATCCAAAGGTTGGTTGTGCAGAACCAGCAGCCACTCTGTGGGAGAAAGATGTGTGAGTCTTCTCCTGTAAAGAGTCCATAGAACAAAAATTCAAGTCCACTGCTCTAGAGTCAATTCTGACTTTTATTGTCCTCTGTAAGAGGGTTTCCAAGGTTGTACATTGGAGGTGGGGGAATCTTTTCTTTTACTAGGGCCATTTGAATCATTATAACATCATTCACAGGTCATACTGATCAGGCCTTCAGTTGGCTCATCTCCAGTGTGATAGCTGGAACTGCTTCTCTTTGGGGAAGTATGTGGTGTCAGATGTCACTGGTGATGGTGCAGATAGTAGGTGGCCTGTGAGTTGGATGTTCTCCATCCCTGCTATAAATCTTCAAGGTGGTGAGTGAGTGGTGGGTTTGAACTGGTGACCCTGTGGTTAGCAGTCTAACACTTAACCTGCACCAGCAGCTCAGAGCTCAGAGCCTTGGAACCCCCCTGGGGCAGTTCTACTCAGTTTTTAATCAACTCTCTGGCTGTGGGTTTTGGTTTTGGTGCATGAGCATGATCAGGTGGTGGCAGGATGTTGGGCAATTTTCTAAGGTTTTTCCAGATGGACCCATTCACTTCTTTAAGGACCTTGTAGGCAGGTTGTGTGTTGATCCCCAGGTGATCAAGAAGCTCACCTGGGCAGAGACACTGTGCTTCTTGCAAGTAGACAGACTGCTGTAGGAGGGCAGAATGTCATAAAAGCCAGAGGCAGCGGTCAGGGCCGGCACTGTGAGGAGGGGAAGGGCCCTGGGAGATCAAGTGAATGGCATTCTTGGTGTAGGGAAGTGCAGGGGCTGTTGGGCTCCATGTGTGTGCAACAAGGGGTGTAGTGCGACCCAAGGCTGAGGTTCACTTTGTGAAGGGGCTCAGGAGCCTTGCAAAGTCTGTGGGCTGCCATCTGGACTCAGTTGGCCGAGCGCCTTTGTTTGTTTAACTGTAGCTGGAGACTAAGTGAGGGTGCTCTGGTGATTCAGTGCAGGCGGACAGCATAGTGGTGTGTCATTGGGGTGGGGTGGGGTGGGGTGGCGGTATGCTATAGCTCGCAACAAGTCAGAGAGCCCTGTTTTTGTGGCTAAGATGCTGCTGCTACTGCTGCCCTGGGCGAAGACGTGGAGGAGAAGAAACGGAGGGTTGGGGGGAGGTAGTGCGAGTCAACTTCTGATTCGCTGTATTGACAAGTCCTTTTGCGGCTGAGAAGGCAGTGGTCAGCATTCATTGAGAAGTAGCCATGGGCTGAGGATTGGGCGTTGGGAGCCACCCATTGACAAACGGGACTTGAAATGATACAGTGACTGGAGACCACAGAGTCGTGGACTCAAAGAGGAGGGCTGGGAAGAGCCTCTGCGCGGCGCCATTTGTACACACTGTAATTCATTTAAAAATGTATGGCTGCTACGCGTGCTTACACGGAACACACTGCCTTCCTAAGACTCTTATGAGCCTTCTATATTTTATCCATATGAAGAGACACAGTGCCCAGAAGAGTCAGCGATACTGCCCACTGGGGTGTGCTGGATGGATTCAGGGGCACGTGAAAGCATGCAGCGGCATTTCCTCCTGCATGATGGACTGGAGTTGCAGTTTTTAAGTGTCAAGGGGACACAGGATACATTTTTTGTTGTTGCTTTGTTTTCTGGAAAAGGGGACAGTAGACCAAATAAGTTTGGGACCCAAACGAATCACTTCTGCATGGTAGCCTGGAATCCAGGACGAAGGGTAGGCATCTGCTTGTGCCCCTCACCTGGATGGTTGCAGCGCCCCCAGGGGGATCTAGAAACAGAGGGAAGCAGGGATTGAGAGCGGGGCTTGCGGTTCGACAGCCATAGGCGGCGGGCCTTGTGGGCTGTACACAGGCTCAGAAGTAAAACTGAAGGTAAAACTAAATCCATCATAGTTTCATTTATAAAATTACTTTATACCTTCTTTATTTGTCAAAATATACTTAGGACTCTTGAGTAATTTCATAACTCCATTTGTACCGTTCTACCTTACTTATAAAGTATACCTTGATACCCTACTTACTTTATACCTAACTTATTTGTCAAAATATACTTATGACTCTGGAGTCGTGTTTCAGTTGTTGTGAGGGACAGGGTTGGCGCTCCCATCCTCAGAGTTTGCTCATCCCCGGTTTAGAAAATCCGTTTTTTATGCCCACGGCTACTTACTTTGCAGTTGTTCTAATGACCCCTTTCTGATGGCTTTTCCCTGTCCCTTTAAGGGGCATTCGCCTGCCTTCCTGTCCGGAGTAAAACAACTTCAGGCAGGCCCTCTGTAGCAGCAGCAACTGCTTTTGCCCTTAGAACCGTTTATTAGAATTTCAAAATGATCTTCTTCATATATTTCCCTCAGACTTCCGATAACTGGCTGGTGGAAGTATTTCTTTTCTGGGAAACTGACATGCAGGGCGGTGAAGTCCTTTACCTGTGTGTGCAGGTGCGGAGTGAGAGCTGAGATTAGAGCCCCAGTCCACTGCCTCGACACCGCGTCACGTGGCTGATGCTTCCTCATCCCTGAAGGGAGGGCAGCAAGAGCAACCACAGGGTGACAGCCAGGAGACCTTTGATGGCCACAGTCCAGGGTTTGCCTACTATTTGCATCCGTTCTCTTCCTAGTGTCATTGCAACAAACATTTCTTCTTCACAGATCACAAAAGCCGACTTAGAGCAGCGCCGGCCTCAACTGGATTATGTTTTCACATTGGCACAGAATTTGAAAAATAAGGCCTCCAGTTCGGATGTGCGAACCGCAATCACAGGAAAACGTAAGTTCAACAAATCAACTACTGTCTCTGACAGTCTCTGCGCCCACGTCTTCACAGCTGACATTCAAGGAAAGATTCCCATGAAGATCACCTGAAACATTGCTTGCTCTTATTTTTTAAATGTTTTTATTTCTGACGGAATAGTGTTCTAAGTCCCTTGTGAGCATCTTAGTGCTAACTTTGCTTTTAAGTAGTTGCTGACTCATGGGATTCTGTTCTCCTAAGTTAATTTGCTTTAAAGAAG